ACCACAAACACTGAGAAGCATCCAGCCTTTATCATCAGTCAACCTCACTGTCATCTGATTCTTGAGAAATGCATCATTCAAGGAGTATCTGTGATACTCACAGCATGCCTGTGAATGAAGACCTAACGATTCTTTGACTACTGCACAGCTCTTCTGGGCTCCGCATTTTAAAAAGAAAGTTAAGATCTGCAAAAGCATTCAGCATTGGCAACAAACTGCTAACTGGGCAGGAAGGTGTGCCCTGTGAGGAGAGGCTGAGGACACTGGGCTGTCAGCCTGGATAAGGCCGAGACGTGACCTCACTGCTCTCTGCAACTTCGTGGGAAGGGGAAGCAGAGGGAGATGTGGGGCTGTGCTCGACAGGATGTGTGGGAAGGGCACAAAGCTGTGCCAGGAGAGGATCAGACTTGACATCAGGAAAAATTTCTTTACCACAAAGGTGGCCAAACCCTGGGACAGGCCTCCCTGAGAGGCATTGCTGCCCCGTGCTGTCAGCCTTCTAGAGGATTAGGGCAATGCCCTCATTAATCTGCTTTATCTTGTGGTTAGCCTTGAAGAGGTAATTGGACTAAATGCTCTTCGAAGACTCCTTCCAACTGAACTCTTCTATTCTACTGTGTAACCAACACGTATGTGAGACACCAAAGAAGAGATTCACAAGTAGCGCAAGTGAAAAATAAAAAAGCCCTGTTAGGATAATGCTACAATATGGACAGCAGAGAACAGCTAGCGTGACACCAGCACTGAGTGGAGACAGGACTCGGCATTGTACTGCCATCCACGCTCCACGCACAGTGCTGCTGCACAGCCAGCAGCTGTCCCCAGGCGCTCCCTCTCCTTGCTGTGCTCCTTGGCTGCTGAGTGGAACAGGAGTCTCATGTGCAGGGAATCTACTCCCCTGTTTGTCGTCTGGGCCCTTGCACGATCCAGTCCCACAGAGCAGCTCCCGCACAGCCAGTATGAAAAAGCTAAAAGACGAAAATACGCAAGAGAGTACAGAGAGGAGAGGAAATCCCTGTTTTAATATACACCACATGCACAACATGTCTGTGCTGCAGCCCTTGGGAGTCATAATTTTGAATGTCCTGACTTTTGTGTGTTTAAAATCTCAACTGCAGCATTACGACTTTTTTTTCATTTATTTTTTTTTCTTAAGGAAAGAAGAAAGTATGCTTTACTATAAAGTCAAAAAGACTAACAGATTAACAGTCAAATAAATATCATCCACACATTTATGTGCATGATTAAGCCATTGGACACTCAAGAAAATAGAACTGAGTGCATTTATTTGAATAACCTCAAAGGTATTAGGTGGTACATAAAGAAAAAAGTGACAGCAAGACATAGACCTTTTCATTGTTTAAAACAGTGCAACTCTAGTAACTCCTCTGAAACGAATAAAAAATGAATGAAAGAACAAGTGACACACATCTGAAACACTTTCTGCTTTCCCCATTCTCTCTCTACACAAAAAAGCTGCTGATTTTAATTCTTGGTGATGTACAAGATACATTACAAATATGTGTCTAGACAAAGTTCAGTGCCTTAGTGGTTTGCTAGATATCCAACACAAGATGGCACAGTGCCCACACATCCTTGTTCCATTAGGAGATCATGAAGCAAAACTACTTTTCAAATAGATAAAGAAGAAACAAAGACAAATGGTTCTTCTGTTGTGTTGTTCTTTTCCTTAAAAGCATTTAGTATTGCACTGTGCACTGTGGCTTCCACATTAACAAAAGAGCAAGAGGACAGAATTGGTAGAGCAGATCATTTCGTATGGAAGGGTTTTGTTGTTTGTCTTGTTTTTGAAAGGACTTCTGGAGGAGCTCTGGACAAGCCCCATATGCTGAATGCCCTACTTGTAGCTGGCAAGTATTAGGTATGTTCTAGGAGTCCATCCTCCAGTTTAGTTTAACCCAAATGAATGTAGTCCATATACTCCAAGACAATGAGAAACAGAGCACAGTCAAGATGGACAGCTGGAAGTTTTGTTTCAAAAGTGCACTCCTAATTTGCCCTACAGTGTTAACATGGGCATGCAGTGTGAAGGGTGGAAAGATGACTTGGGTTGATGAATGATGCCTTCTACATTTTTCTCAGTGAAAAAGAATAAACTGTAGAAAAAGCACCTAATTTTTACTTCTTCCGTGTGTGGACACATTAATGAACCTATTATTAGAAAAGCTTCATGAAATGATTGTGATGATTCTTCCAAGGAAGCACGTATGAATTCAGACATTAGTCCTCTGTGACTCAGAGCCGGTATGATGCTTAGTCATTACTCCTGTGCTAGTGATGACAGAAAACAGTATCCAGAAGCATCCAAATACCCAATGGATCTTATTTTCACTATCTGAAACAATAGTTTCATTTAGCAATGGTGAGAGAACTGAAATGAGTTAAGGCCTTTCTGTACAATATTACAAAATCACAGAAATGGCAAAAGGGGTTCTAAAATGATGATCATAAACAAAGAGATGATTAAAAAAGAAAAAAAAAAAAGTTCTGTCAAGATAAAGAAAATGTCTTAAGCCATGCAGTATTTTCCTTATGGTTAGACTCATGACCAAGACCATAAAAATAGTAAAGGCTGTAACTTCCAGACGTGCTGAAATTTGATAATTTATAAATGGAAGCAATAACCACTCCTGAAAACTGCCCCGGGAGCTGGGAGCTGGGTATTGTCCTTTTTGTCATGCAGTACCATAGTATGACATCATATCATCCAGTAGATTGTATCACATGGGAACTGGTCCATACAGCTCTCCCAGGTCACCTGATGATCAACAATGAATAAATGATAACTTACTCTCCAGCCTTCATTTGGACAAAAACAGTTTGTTAACCTCAAATCAAAACATGTGTCCCTCTGTGCATAAATGCACTGTTCATTGCTCCTAGAGGACTGCATGGACACTCATGGGGTTTGCTTAATGCAGTCTTTCACCCCTATTCCACATTGCTCTCTGTCATATCCCAGAGCCTGCATCCATGCCTTAAGATTTATTTAATGAAACCACCATTCTTGTGGACTGCTGTTCAACCTGCACACTGCACTTAATGAGAAAAACTACAGAAAATCCAGCAACGTATAGGACAGCCAGAGCACCATATGAGGCACCATACAAAGCTCAGAAAAATCAAACACTAGATATAACTAGTCTGTTTCAGAGTGCAGCAGTCCTGAGAATCCTGGGTAAGTCTACTCTTCACTTGATAGTCTGTGAGCTAGACATTATGTCTACAGTGCATACAGCTAACAGCATAAATGTATTAAGAACATCTTAGTTTCTTTAAAGGGAACTCTTCCATGTTCTCTTAATAGGAAACTCCTGGGTATCTGAGAAGAAAGACAAAGCCATTCTTGGATCTGTAATTGCAAAGGAAAATAGTGAAGGGAATTCCATGATTGTGTCACCTGGCACACCAGTGCAAAGAAGGAACACTTGAACCAGTTCTGTTCAGCTGTTCTTTGGGAAGAAGCAATAGGTGAGTGTGCAGTGGGCTACTTACGTAGCCTCTAGAACCTGAGCTACACATTCAGCACAAACTTGGAAAACTTAGGAGAGAGCAGTGTCTTGAGACACAGTTTGACCTTCCAGGAAGGTAGGCAGAGTGCAAACAGCTTCTTCCACCTCTTCATGCTCATTATCCCCATGGCATCTTTATCTGCATTGCCCGTTCCAGCCAACACAGGTAGCTCCAGACCTCCTATATAGGGGAGTATGAGCTGCATGATGAAGTGTCAAGTTCTAGGAAATCAAGCTACAAGGCCAGTGTAGTGCCAGATGGCTGTAAATTGTTTTCTCTGGCAACAAAGTACTGGTCTGAAAGCCTGTGAATACGTTATTATGAATTCTGCTTTCCTACAGCAGGTTGGGAACACATATCAGTCAGGTTTATTGGCACCATTCAGGTGACTGCTAGTCACAGAGCAAATGGTTTAATAAGGAGATTTGTTCAAACATTTATGTCCCCATTCCCTGAGGACTAATTGAGATTAAAAGCTGTTATTAGTCATAATAAATATTAACTGCCTGAATAAAGATGGACTCCAAGCTACACTACAATGCTCTTTTACAGATAAAACCAGTCGATGCTATGAAAATAAGAGCACTCTTTGGCAAGAAATGAAATTAAAGCATGTTGAAAATATTTAAAGCAATATAAATTACAATAATAGAAATCCTTAATTATCCTAACATATTACTGGGAGGGATTTCATTAACTCCTTCTGAAACAAATCATTTCAGTTATCCAATAAAAATTTTAATGAGCAATCTAAACTGGAAGTGAACTAAACCATAACTTCTGCAGATTTTTCATAACTAATCACAGAATGTGACCTGCCAGTTATCTCTGAACTGCAAGCTTAACATATAGGATACTGCTTCGAAAGCATCTGAAATTCATCAGCCACCTATTTCGGTGCAGTTTTAGAACTCCAGCTTTAGAATTTCCAGCTCCAGTTTTAGAAATTCCAGCTTCTTGCTGAAAATGCAAGAAATTCAGTTGCCACAAAGCCAAATGGGAGTCGAATACAAGAATATAAAAATCCTTTCTGCAAAAACTTTAAAAAGAAAGAACGGCAAATGATAACAACAAATACCACACCAAACACCACTGTTCACTGAAAGATTGAGATAGCCAGTACTTAAGTTTAACTTTACAATTGAGAACTTGCAATCAGTTATGCAGATTTCCCCTGGCAAGCCATAACTGAACTTCACTCACTGGGGCACTAACTTGAGTCTCTCTCCTTTAGCATCAATTTTCATGAAATGCATAAGACCTTAATAGTTCTGAGACCTCTAATCCTCAGTCAAATTTAGTTAAAATTGACTACCAGGTTCAGAAATTACTTATAAGACTGTTAAACAAGCAGATGGAGGAACAAAAGAGCAGTGCAATCAATAATTTGCTTTTCCTTATAAAAACAGTTTAAAAAAAAAACAGGCAGATAGAAAGTAGGACATGAGTCAAGGAAAAAGTTCTACCTGATGTTCCTATTTGATTATCAGGAGTCTTCAGAAGAAGGTGCTGGAAATGGCATCCCTTGAAACATTTCAGACTTTACTTAACAAAGCATCTGTGAATATATTATAATAAATAACCCTTCAGTCATCGTATTCTTATAGTGAATAATAAAGCACTTTCAGTAGAATTGGTCAGCTTTAAACAGAGATGATTCCTTGCCATTTCTCTCAGGAGAGCAAATGTATATGCATACATATAAAATTTTATTGAGATATGAAACAATTCCTAAATGAAAATCTCCTTCAATAATTTTTTTAGGAGATGAAAAAATACATCACTATATCAGAATGGTAATATATAAGGCTTAAAAAGAAAATTTCTATGTTAAACAAAAATTTGTCCATGTTGGATGCCATACTCTATCACCAATGCAAATAATTGGTTTTAGTTAACATTTATAACCAAATGAGTCATCCTGTTTATATGTCCTTTGTCATTAACCATGCTCAAAACAATCTTAATCATCTCCAAAAGGTACGTATACATACATCTTTATTGACAAGAATGCACCATGTCAGTTAATAGAAACCTCTTGGTTTGTATGGCTGCTACCTGCTAACGCTGTGTTCCTCTAAAAAAAAAGGGAAATTTTCTTTGCTTAGTCTGTTACTGTAAAACAAACTAATTTTTTAGTTCAAATCATATTCTCCTTAGGAACTTTATCCTTAAATATCACCTTTGCAGAAATTCCTTAACACTTGGAGCTGTGTTTCATTTTCTTTTGCTGATCCAACTACAGCAGTCTGCAATTGCTCTGAATCCTGCAGTGTACACAATGGCAATAACATTTGGTCCTGTAAATGCAACACGCATTGCAGGTCATCACCTAGCAGGTGGTGTGAAGCTTCTGAAATCACAGAACCTAAATGCATGGTCACGTGGTACGTTACAAAAAGCCCCAAAAACATTCATTGGCACATGCAGCCTGGCAGTTGTAATATCATAGAATGGCTTGGGTTGGAAGTCATAATAATACAGGTTGCATCAAACAAGTACTGTCTCCCTTTAAAAACAAAACTCTCCGATGTCACATTTGTACATTGATTCTGATTTTTCGCTAAGTTCTATTTTTGTATTAATCTTTTGCTTATCAGCAATGGCAAAGAGAGAAAGCAGGCAATAATACAGCACACAAAAGAAAATCCCAGCTGGTTCTGGTAAGCAACAGAAAACATGCCCTTTCAGGACATTTTTAGATGACTCTACAATGCTTTTGAATTTTGATGTGCTCACCTTGAGAACAGTAGGGGTTATAAGGCACCTCCAGAGATCACCGAGTCCAACCCCCTGCAAAGCAGGCTCCCTACAACAGGCTGCACAGGTAGGCATCCAGGTGGGTCTTGAACATCTCCAGAGGAGAATCCACAGCCTCCCTGGGCAGCCTGTTCCAGTGCTCTGTCACCCTCACTGTGAAGAAGTTCCTTTGTATATTGGTGCAGAACTTCCTATGCTCATGTTTATAGCCATTTCCCCCTGTCCTGTCGTCACAGCTAGCTGAAAAGAAGTTGGCCGTGTCCCTTTCACTCTCACACTTAAGGTATTTATAAACATTAACAAGATCACCTCTGAGTCTTCTTTTCTCAAGGCTGAACAGACCCAGTTTGCTCAGCCTTTCCTCATAAGGGAGATGCTCCAGGCTGTTTATCATCTTTGTGGCCCACCACTGGACTCTCTCTATGAGATCCCTGTCTGTTTTGTACCAGGGAGCCCAGAACTGGGTACAGTACTCCAGGTGATGCCTGACCAGCTCAGAGTAGAGGGGGAAAGATCATCGCCCTTGACTTGCTGGCCACACTCCTCTGAATGCATCCCAGGATCCCCTTGGCCTTCTTGGCCACCAGGGCACACTGCTGGCTCATGGCCAACCTGTCACCCACCAGGACTCCCAGGTGCTTCACAGAGCTCCTCTCCAGCAGGTCACATCCCAATCTGTACTCATACTTGTGTTTTTTCCTTCCCAGGTGCAAGACTCTACACTTGCTTTTATTAAACCCCATTTGGTTTCCTACTGCCCAGCTCTCCTGCCTGTCCAGGTCTTGTGGAATGGCAGCACAGCTTTCAGCCACTCCTCTCAGCTTTTTGTTGTCGGCACACTTGCTGAGGGTGGACACTATCCCCTCATCAAGGTTGTTGATGAAGATATTGAACAAGACCAGACCCAGTACTGACTCCTTGGGAGCACTGCTAGTCACAGGTCTCCAATCAGACTCCGCACCACTAATCACCTCCCTCTGAGCTCAACCAGTCAGCCAGTTCTCAATCCACCTCACTGTCCACTCATCTGTCCCACACTTTCTCAGCTTCGTTCTCAGGATGTTATGGGAGACAGTATTAAAAGCTTTGCTGAAGTCAAGGTAGAAAGCATCCACTGCCCACCTACCCAGCCGGTAATGCCATCACAGAAGGCTATGACTCTTGTCAAGCATGAGTTTCCCTCGGTGAATCCATGCTGACTACTCCTGATAGCCTTCTTTTCTACCAATTGCTTGGAGATGGCATCCAGAAAAAGCTTTTCCATCACCTTTTCAGAGTCAGAAGTGAGGCTGACTGGCCTGGTAGTTTCCCAGATCCTGCTTCTTGCCCTTTTTGAACACTGGAGTGACACTGGCTATGTTCCAGTCTTCAGGCACCTCTTCTGTTCTCCAAGACCTGTCGAAGATGATAGAAAGTGGTTCAGCAATCACCTCTGCCAGCTTCCTCAGCACACGTGGATGCATCCCATCAGGGCCCATGAATTTGGGCACATTGATGCCATCTAGATGCTCCTGGACCACCCCTTCCTCAACCAAGTCTATTACATACTGTAAACCAAAGTCTTAAAAGGGGAAACTCCACTCCTGCTCAAGTCTCTGGTGTCTTCCTGCCTTCAAACCTTTCCATCAACTCCAACAGAAGCAAGGTTTTATCAGCAGATTTTACAAAAGAGGTTGCACATATTACTGGAGCTGTGTCAGTACCAGCTGAGTCAGTTCTTGCTTCAAGTATCAGTTTAATTTCAAGGCCTGACAGAAAGCTGTGTGGAAATGCAGAGCCACAAGAGGAGGCACAAGGAAGCTCCCCATCTCAACCTACTGAGTGACAGCCCTGTGCCAGGGCCAGTGCACTTTCACACGACTGCAAACAATTTCCTCCACTCCTGGCATTAGATCATAAGGGCCAGCAACTGCTGAGCAGATAACAGAAAGAATCCTGCCTGTGAACTACACCAGAGTTCTGACAACAACATTGAACCACCTATGCAAAGGAGAGGAACAGCTCAGAAAACACAAAGTTAGTTGTGTATTTCTATGAATCTTCCAGCCCATCATGCCTACAGGAACAATATTATATTTTTCTTTCAGTGCAGCTGATGAAAATTGACTGATATTTGGCAGCCAAATAACTGTTTTGTGAAACTTGCAGACTGAAAGTCCAGAACGCTGCTTGGTTTTGCCAATACCTCTTCATGACAGCCCTCAGCACAATCACAGCCTTTTCTCTTTCTGATCAGAATGCTGCACCAACACCAGGAACTTGTCAAATAACCAGGACATGCAGCCCCAACCCACAGAGAACACAAGACAGCAGAATAACTGAAAACCATAGTGACGCCTCCTTGGAATGGTACAGTGTGAGATGAAATGTCATTTAAAACAAAGTGGAAAATGATGTTATTTCAATGCAAAGTGAACTGAAAGGTGCCACTTTGTCCAGCTATCCTATATGTCTGTCAATTGCCTCTAACTTACTGAATAACAATGACAAAAAAAAGTTTCCTCCATTCCCTGCACTTCAGTAAATTAAATCACTCAAGCAACTGTTTACCAGATAAGCAGAACCTACAACTGCCTCTCATAAACTCAGTGTAACTAATGTAAATAGGAAAATATACAGTGTTATCAGTGAAATCTGAAATACAAAGACATTGAATTGGATTCCAAGGTAAATTATACTCTATAAAAGGAAATAAATGGAGAAGTGAATTTTATTTCAATGAGCTGAAGTGGTTGTTTCCAAGGCAGTGTGTTGAATCATCCCTTACTTTCAAGCCTTCAGCTTTAGGAGTAGCCCAACCATGCATTTACTAACCATTGATGTTAATTCAATTTAATTTCTGGTAGCAAAGTATGCTTACAAGTATGCTAAAATAAGAAGGAATGAGACAGCTAGTAATATGCATGCAAACATGAAAATATTCTATCAGAGAGTCTACTATTGCTCTGAAACTTTTGCAAATTAAGTTGTACTGTAAACTCTGGGGAGCTAGTATCTGCAAGAAGTTCTGCTTTTGGCTATTTCATACCAGCTTCTGGTATCAAGACAAGCAGATCATCACCCTAATGGCTTCATTACAAAAAACAGATAGTGCCTTTATTCATGCCAACATTGTTTAAATTATCTTTAACATTTTCATAAAGGGATATCATTAAAATTTGCACCTTCATACCTGAACTGAAAAGGGCAAAGCCCTCAGGGTTTTCAGACAGCTCTGCACTCACCTTTCCCTTCAATCACAGCACTTACTCAACACCATTGTTAAAGTATTAGATCTTTACTTCATCACTGTGGGAAAAGAAATATGAACAAGTTCATTTCTACTTTTGTATTTCTCAGGATTTCAGCAATTCCTAAAGTCTGATACACAGAAAGGTCTTGTTAGAGACTGCTTGTAGGCTGGTTGCCAAAGGGATCAAATGAAATTTCTTCAAGCTTCATCGATCACATGGATGCACCTTTTCTTTTTTAGAGGATGTATTTTTTCTTGATGGGTTTCCAGTGTTTTAAAACTCTCCTATATTAAGGCAAATTTGTAATCATTTCAGACAAAATTAGGATAACTACAAGACTCAGCACAGAAGCCCACAAAACACACAGCAACTGCCCAGAAGCGCTTTGATGATGAATTTCTTTACCTTGTATGATGGTATTTTCAACTGCAGATATACGAGGTAACATTTTATTAATGGAGTTCATAGTACTAGAGTTTAAGGTTTGTTGCACACAATCAGGTGCAATGAAATACCTATTCTTAAAGCTGAGTTTCTGTTTTTTCACTTGTCATAGCTGAACTGTAGCATCAACAGATCCTTGCGCACTCACACTGTAGCAACAGTCAGACCCACACACTCTTTTTGCTATTATATCTTCCAGTTCTCCTTATCTATGAGGGCTGCTCTGAAAGTAATGCCTCCTGTTTCATTATGTCAGCCACAACATCAGAGGGGGATGTTGGTGGTATGGCAGTAGAGGTTGTACCTTCCCACCAGTATTCCTTTACGTTTTCTTGTTATGTAACAGATGGCAGCAGAGGGGCACACTGACAAAATGGCATCTGATATGGAAGTGCCTATGAAGCAAAGGTGTGGAATTGAATTCACCCATACACAAAATATTGCACCCACTGACATTCATCAACACTTGCTGAATGCTGATAAAGACCAACCAGTGGATTTGAGCACAGTGAGGTGGTAGGTGATGCATGTCAGGAGTGGTGACAGTGACAGTGGGTCACCTCTGCTGCTGCAGGTATTTACAAGCATGGCATGCAGGCTCTTGTTCAACACTGGCAAAAATGCCAGGCTAATTGTGGTGACTACATTGAAAAATAGCATTTTGTAGCTAAGAACTTACTCTATCATAGTGCTATTGTGATCTTTGTACCTGATGTTGTTTCCATGGAAATCAATAGGAGGCACTGCTTCGAGAGTCACCTGCATACTTTTATTTGGTTTCTGTAGAAAAAGAGATATTCAATACCCTTCAGGCAGACACATACCTGATGGGCTGCCTAACATGTAAATGTTGATCTACTTGACTTTCAGCTGCATTTCCTGGCATCTAGCTTTCTCATTGTCTGGTAGATGAACAAACACTTTTATGGGCAGCATTCAGTCCCAGGAACCACTGTGGAAGTTTTTCCTTCTGATATTTCTACTCTACTTTCCAGGTTGCCTGAACTGGCCTGCAGGTTGAGCTATTACAGAGAGACTAACAGAACTACCTGCATGCCTGCAAACACCTTACTTCTCAGCAAGCTTAAGCTAACTAAGTCTGATCTCAGGAGTAAACTACACGTGAAGCAATGGCTGTTGAATATAAGAATAACTATTCACAGGAACAATTTAACTAAGGCTTTGCAGGATCACTCATAGGCAAATGGTTAACACAATCTTTTGCTTCTTAACTAGCTATCTCCCAGCTTCCTCTATTTTCAACTCGTTTAAAGCCACTGAAGCCTAATGTAAAGGTATGTGGGACTTCAAATCTTTGGCAAAGAAGAACCTCATACACTTGAAAATCTTCCTTGAAGTGTTCCCTATCGATACCTGAAGGAAGAATGAGAGGGAGAGAAAAGAAGGTTTATCCAATTATGTAGCATTACTGAAATTTTAAAGTCAACATTTTCTCCTAAAATAGGAAATCATGTATGGAAAATGTTTCAAGTTTCAGGCAGAAAAGTAGCAAACTAAAAATCAACAATATAATGCATATCAAACAATAAGAAGCTCTTAAAAGAAGACTTAGAGGCATTATAATATTCACCAAAATTAATTTTTCAAATTGTGTGGGTTTATGAATGTAAAAAAGTGGAAACAGAAGATACCAGTGCTACAGAATCTAGAGTATAATCTCCCAGAAGTCTGCAATGTAAGCAGCAATTTCTTGTGAAACCCATGTTGTACTTAAGCTTACGTGCCTTGAAATTTGGTCTGTAATTTCAGACCTGCAGCTTCTATTATTTCACAGCAATCTCATTCCCAGTCTTCTTATCCCTTAACAATGCTGTCATTATCTCAAAGGCACCAATCCCTGAAATGTCTCCCTGTGATTTCCAAGAAAGCTGGATATAGTTCCATATGAACTATATTTCTCTTGTACACTGCCATGCATTTTATGCCCAAGTTAAATACCAAAATCCCTAACAGACACCAAAATTCCTAGAAACCACTTTTTGCTCTGACTTTATTCCTGAAAAGCAATCCTGAATAGAAGCAAGCAAATCTAATAAAACAGTTTTTGGCAAATTTTGCCCATTAATAAAAGATAATAAACGTTTAACTAAAGTAGAACAAGTGTGCTCAGTGAAAACTGAAGCTTGGAAAACCAGATGGGAAGCTAGATACTAAACGGTATGCTACAGAAACAGGACCAGAAAAAGCAAATCCATATCAAATGGGAAAGAGAAAATGTCCTGTTAATATTCACAATTAATGTGGACAAGTCTAAACAGCTGCTATATCATAAAAACTGCTGATTTATCTGCAAACTTTTCTTGGAGGAACACAGGGGACAGAATGTTATGCTTTAGTAGAAGTGTGAGCAAGACATAGGGCTAACTCCCTAGGGCCTCAGCAGTGCAGTCTCCCCCCATTAGCAAGATGTGATGCAGCACATGCACTTCAGGAATTGCCATACGTTCACACAGCCTCCCCCATCCCGCCTGCTGCTGCATTTGGCAGCTAGACAAACCAGAAGGTGTTGGCAAAAGCAGAAAAGTTCAAGAGGAAACCACAGTTTCTCCAAAGAGCAGAGATAGCAGCCCCACAAAACAAGTGCATGTGCACAGGGCACCCAGAACAATAAATGTATGGTGTACAGCATGTACATATCCAGCGGGTGCAAACCTCCCGCGTATCAATGTGATTTACAGAAAATCTTCCCAATGCTTG